ATTTCTCACATGCAACATTTTCCCTAAATTTCAAAATAGCATTTACTTTATTGGAAACAGCAGTTTGGACTTAGATTATTCTTATGGCTCACCACAACTCCTGAAACATTTCCCATGATACCAGTGCTGAGCTAGTTACTCTGCACTTTGTGTTTGTACCTTTGATTCTTCCATAGTAAGTTTACCCTTTGTGCCATCTTTATCATCTTTCACCTTCTTGATCTATCTATTTAGCAAGATCACTTTGACTCCGAACCTGTCTTGTATCACTCTTACCTCAGCCGGGCTGAGTACCCACAAAATCCATTCTCTGTGCTATCGTGCAAATTCACACTGGATGTTCACTAGACCAGAGCAAAGACAAATCCCTTGCATCTCACCTGGGACGTCCTCTTACTTTTAAAATGTGTCGTTAATAACAATTTTGGGGCTATGGTTTCTAATATTCAAGATGCCATGCTATAGTTGAAGCTCTAGTTTTCTGGGGTTTTTTTCTGGGAGAATGTCAGGCATGAGGAAATATCACTGGAGTTACTAATCATGGATAAACCAAACTTACTGCTTACTGCTGGGCCAGCTACTCTGCCAAAGAGAGAAAATTAGATTAGCCTGATAAACTGATTGTAAATAACCAACTCCATAATCTGCCTCAAAATAAGAGAGAGAGCTATAAATTTCCCATACCTTTCTTTGCCTTCTCCAAACATCTGAGACTCACCAATCCTCCACAAGTCCTCAAAGACAAACGCTTGGAGATTGCTACTCTATGTACTGTAGGATTAATTCGAACAGGCCATCAGGACTTGTGTAAACCTTCTGCCAGGTTTAGATTGTCATAAACCAAAATAGTTTCAACTTTAAAGGGGTTGCTACAAAAGCACTATCCAGAAATGTATGAAAATGCAATTTACCTTGTGCACAGCAAGCTGATTTTCCTCACCTGCAACCATGACTGAGTTGGCTTAATGAACAATATGTAATTACAAGGAGCAAAGGAAAAAAAAAGAGCATCAACAAGGTACATAAACAGGCTCACACATGATGCCGAATTTCTAGAGAACTATAACTATTTTACAGTCCTTGCCTCTGGTGGGCCAACTGCTAGGCCAGCTGGTAGCTCTACCTCTTGTGCTACCACTCTTTAGTCACAGTCAGGGACTGAAAACTGGCTGGGAAACATGACTGAATTCAAATGGCCACTGAATTTTTGTGAAAGCAGTTTCCAGCTTGCTGGCTGCCATCCTCCCTGGTGTCCCAGGCTGCCCCGCAGGCCCTCTACCGCTCTCCACCCTGGGACCCCTCAGCTCTGAGTAATCCCTGCAATTTTACTAACAACTTCAGCCATTCCAGCTCTCAGTAAGGCTACACACATTGTGGAAAACTAACACCGACCTCCTGCATGCTCAATTCTTGCATCTCTCGATTCTATATTGGATATTAGGAAAAAATTCTTCTCTGAAAGGATTGTCAAGCATGGGAATGGGCTGCCCAGGGAAGTGGTTGAGTCACTATTGCTGGAGGTATTTAGAAGACATGTAGACATGGCGCTTAGGGACATGGTTTAGTGGTGGCCTTGGCAATGTTAGGTTAGTGGTTGGACTCGATGATCTTAAGGGTCTTTTCCAACCTAAATGATCCTATGATTCTGTTCTTAAACAGCTTCTCACACTTCACACAAACTTCTCCAGCTTTATTCTGTGGCTTCAGGGTCCAACTTTTGTTTTCTGGTGCTAGAAAATATTGTTGTCAACTAGCAAAATCATACTGTAGGCATAGCTGCACTAGGTCAAAAATCCCATGGATTTGCAGATGTGCAGCTCCACTTGATCGTATGCCTCTTTTTCAAAGAAATACCTCTCAATCACAATAAAACAACATATATAAACTAAATGTTCTTCTGGTCTACTCATTTGATTCTTTCACTTAAGTCGCTTTAGAGGTGACATCAAATATTAACTGAGCCTTCACCGCTGCTGGACTTCCCTTTCCTCTGGATATCTCAAGGAGGCATGGTTTTCATTTCAGCCCTTTCCCACTATGCTTTGCAGAAGTGTTCTTCAGCCTGCTTTTTCCCTGTCCTGCCTGTGTTCCTGGCACCTTGTTGTTAATATTAATTGTATTAAGCACTGGGTCACAATTAAATATTTTTATGGAAGGAGGGTAAAAGAAAGAAGAATGTATTGAAACAAAAGGACCCTTGAGGCTTTAGCCTTCTGTGTCACTCTTTACTTGCTCACTTTCCCTGTTAAATAATGAGTTGAATTTTCCTTCATCTTTCTCTTAGGTCTAATGTCTTTTGCAAAACCTGTTCTTGTTTCCTGTAATATCCCCTGCTAGATCCAATTAATTTTGTGTCTTTTCCATTCTTCCTAGTAGCTGCATCCTGTCACAGGACAGTGATTTTCTGGACTGCAAGTTTGGCAGAACATCAGAAAGGGAGATTTAACATAACAGCTGAAGCCATCACCTCAACAGAGTTTGTGAGCTCCAAGACTACTCCATGGTGTAAACCCAAGTGCGGTATGTGGGAATGACTTGGAGAGATGCGACAAAAGTGCATTCCTGACCTGAACTGAAATGCTCTCATAGATGCCCCCAGTAGCAAAGAGACTGGGGTTCTGCAGGGAGCTGAGGGGCTGTCAAAGAGATGAATGAAGTGATACAGCAGAGATACCTTAACAACAGGATTTAATTGTTCACCCCTAAGAGTAAGCATCAACTAAACTGCATGCAACAGAACCACGAAGCAAGCAGGAGGGAAAGGCCAGGAAAGCAGATCTGAAAACAACATGCATTTGCTCGCCACAGCCCATCACCACTACTGCTGAAGATTTGCCTAAGTTCATTCTGTCGTACTGCCTTCTGCTAAGGACTTCTGCCTTTTACAATACTGATAGCTGCTCAGTGCTGCCTTCTTCACAAACAGCTACTGCGTCTGGCTGGAATTTATGCTTATTGCTTGCCTCCCCCTGTAAGAGTTTATTTATAGCTTCTTGGTTAAGCTGCAAAGATCAACTCACAGGCCTGGTGTCCAAACCAAAAGGCTAAGGGGGTTCCACTTCCTTCAGTTTGGTTGGATGGGGCTGCTCAGAGAGACAGGGAGACATCTGGCAATGTAAAGGAAGGAGTTTTGGCAAAAATCTGGACAAGGTGAAGTTCTGGCCTCACTGACAGAGACCCTGAGATGCAACATCAATGATTTTTTTTCTTTTTCCAGTTACACTGATAGTAAGAGATCATACTTTTTTTCTTATCTTATCTCAGCTCCACATTAAAAATTTCTACGTGGAAAGGTAGTGAAAATTATTCAGTAATGATGTATCTTTACAGTCATTTACTCCTGCGTTAAACTGAGTCGCAAGACCTATTCATAATTTGAGAGACTATCCAATGTAGCAACCCCTGCATCCAAGCTGGCAAATGCCATCTCTTTATCAGAGACACACTGATGAGTGCAGAGTTGCTGAGTTCAGTGTCATAAGAATCGTTTGTTATAGATGACGTTCTGAAACTGCCCTTGGTGTGATACCACATGCTTAAAAATGATGTCTCAATCTAATTAAGCATGAGAATTTAGATGAGAAAGGTGACTTCAGGTTGTGCACTCCTTCTCTTAACAATTTGTTAAACTTGTAGGATCACATCTGTAATTACGTGCTTGTTTTCTTGTTACCCATAACTAGGAATACTTTCAAATTCACTATTTTTTTCTCTTTCCAGTTATCTAATGCATTCTATAATCCTTCCCAGAACTTCCTTTGTAAGTCCAGCAAACATTAAAAAAATCTTTATTTTTAAATAATAAAAAAAAACCAATTATGGAACAATACAAACTCTTTCATCTTGTTCCATTACTCATTTTGATTTAAATTCAGGTATTTAGGCAGTATATTGAGCTAAAAACTCACTAAAATTTAGTGCTTGTATATATGAGAAAATTGACTTCTACAGCCATAATCAAATAATTAAACAGATTTAGTTAGGTCAGTATAATTCCCTGTTTCTACTGCGGAGTAATTATACTGGAATAAAGCCACTTTAATTCCAGAATAGACCGTCCACATGGGGAGCTATATTGAAACAGCTGTAGTAAAATAATTATTTGACTACAGCTATGCCGCTCACTTCCCCCTGAAAGCAAGCCATCAACATAAAAGTCTTGCCTCTTCCACAGAAGCTCAGACATGTTGGCTCAGTCCTATTCCATAAACAAAGGCAAAGGGCTTTGCCAGCAGAGTGAACACACAACGTGGAGAACAGGAGATTTTACTTAATTCAGCACGGATTGGAGAGGCGCAGCGATGCACTTGCAGTTTTTTACCACTTCGAAGATTCTGAGATGCTCTGGGATGTGGAATGGAGAATGTGGATAGAAAATGCAGGCTTTTGTGTAACGCGCTATACATTTTATAAGTGTAGTCCAGCACAGAGTTAACTCCAGATGAAAGAAGTAGAAGATGGGCTTCTGCTGCCCTATGGATACCCCCCGCCTGGCAGGTATTGCCTCTTACCTCCGCTTCTCTGCCGCAGCCTGAGGGCCTCACACTGCATGAGCCTCCCTGTGCCTCGACCTTCCAAAGCATGGAAGCCCCACAGGGCTCACTCACATCTCAGCTTACACCAGCACAGGTGCAGAGAAGTGGCTGGTCCTCTCTACTTCTCTGTACTCTGTCACTTATGGAGTTGAAGAGTGAACAGAGCTGTAAAATCCGACTTATTGAACTGTGTCTTTGTTTCACTAACATTAGTTAAAGTGTTTTAGTATTCTAGACTTAAAGCACAGGCTTTGGCCGGTCAATTACATACTACGTGCATCCAATATCCAATATTTGCAGACGAAGGAGTTTTTCCTTCAGCCACACAGCTACTCACTCAGAGGTATTTCACCTCAAAGATCCTTTAAAATTTGACTCCCCAAGCTCTCAATGCGATATAAAAATGCACAGCTCTTGCAAAAGTCATTTGAACTAAAAGGATAAGAAAGCTGGGTCACAACTCACCTCGATCTGTGTCATACAGGAAGACAAAGCGGTTCCATTCATAATGATCCAGCAAGCTCAAGAGGGCTCCCCGCAGAGACGGCCGCAGCTGCAGCACAAACTGACTCTCACCCTCCGTGGGGAAACTCGGCGTGATGAGGGAGATGTGCAAGGCGCTGCAGAATGAGGTCAAGGTATGTACTGATCTCTTATCGTATAGTCCAAAAATGGCAAAAACTCCTCTAGAATACTGGGAGCAAACTGGAAGGAAAAAAAAAACCAAAACAGAGTTCAGCCAGTGACAAAACCTGTGAACATGTACTTATACGTCCCAACATCTCAAAAGTTTTAATCTGAAGATTTCCATTTCCACTCAAATATACACAATGTTCATGTGTTTCATTCTGAAAACCAATAAATAAATAGCTAAATAACACTTTGTCACTTTTGGATCCTAGCCATAGAATGTTACATTATCTATAGTGTTTTTACCCTAAAATAAAACATAAAATAACTAAGTATTTTTGTGCACCAGTGAGAAGTCAACATATGCTGTTTTAACCACAGCTCTGCATATTATCAGGCACTGATCATTTCCTTTACCTCCGAAAAGTTACCACAAAAATGTTACTGATCTCATAAGTGAAATTTGAACATTTTGAACTGTAACAATGTAGAACCTTCATTTGCTTTTAAGCAGGTAGCCCTTGTGCTATGTTAAAACTCTACTACAGACACTGACTAAAAAACTACTTCATGAACAACCTTCTTGACTTTAACAGAGCAACTGAAGGAAAACATAGCAAGTCAACGTGACCAGACTTGCCCCAACCCTTTTATTTCTACTCTGCGTCAGCCTCAAAACCGGGAAACAAATGACCTGAATATATATTCTAAGTTCTGATTTGCTCTTGGACTCATTTAACACACAGAGGAAGACTTCTATTGATTTCAGAAGACCGGATAAGGGCTTTACTGATCTATGCACATAAAAGCAGGCACAAGGGCATTTTCTTGAGAAAACACTGCTTTTCTGACAACTCATGAAGGGCCCAATGAAAAACATCCCACTTTTTGTGAAGTACAAAGCAACTTATTAGAAACTGTGTGATCATTAATAGTGTTACCTAACCCAGAATCATAGAAGATTCAGCACTGGTGAGGCTGCACCTCGAATACTGTGTTCAGTTTTGGGCCCCTCACTTCAGGGAAGACATTGCATTGCTGGAACATGTCCAGAGGAGAGCCACAAAGCTGGTGAGGGGTCTGGAGCCCAAGTCTGATGAGGAGCAGCTGAGGGAGCTGGGGTTGTTAGCCTGGAGAAGAGGAGGCTGAAGGGAGACCTTATCGCTCTCTACAACTGCCTGACAGGAGGGTGTAGCGAGGTGGGTGTTGGTCTCTTCTCCCAACAAGCAATAGGACAAAAGGAAATGGCCTCAAGTTGCACCAGGGGAGGTTTTGATTGGACATCAGGACAAATTAGCTGGTTGAGTCCCCATCCTTGGAGGTATTTAAAAGACAGGGAGACGAGATGCTTAAGGATATGGTTTAGTGGTGGGATGGCAGTGTTAGGTTAACAGTTAGACTCGATGATCTTAAAGGTCTTTTCCAACCTAAACAATTCTATGATTCTAAGACGGAGAAAGGAACAGTCAGTTCAGACTGATCATCATATCCATTTTCTCCTAAGGATGTATTTTCTATGCTCTTCTGCTAAAGAATCTCCCTCCTCACAACCCATTCTTACATGTAGCCTTATACATGGGAAGACCTATGTCACACCCTTTTAAGTAGGTGATGGCCTCCTCTCTTCTAGCCTAGAGGTCACAGTCATCCTGTGAGAGCACCACAATCAGGGTACAGCATACACACTTAGGCTGATTCAAACCAGTTCAGTTTTAATTCTTTCATGTTACATTTACTGCATAAAGCGCAAAACCCACAAATTTTGCATTTTTTTTCTCCTTAGACTTGGGTTATTTACCAAGTTTTGATGTAAGAACTGGAGTAAACGGCTTGAGGGCAGTTGAGTGATTTTATGTGCTGCTCCACTGTTACAACCCCCAGCTAAGGATTTTCATAGCCAGATTATGTATAAATAAATCTTTTTAAAAAGCTTTCTTCTTTTCTTTAAAAAGCTACCTTCCCCTAAGTTCCCCTTCAAAATGTTGATATGCAGCTCTTAAAAACTCTCTTAGCATTTTCTTTGCTTGCCCACACAACATCTCCTAGATCCTTCCAAAGACTGGTTTGCCATTCCACTATCCATCCTAAAAAGTGTTGTTCTGTGCTTTCCCACTTTCATCTCATCTTTCTTGAACACAGATGGTCAGCATGTTTAGAATTTCAGTTGAAGGCTTTCTGCTTCTTTTTAAATTACTTCCCCATCTCTGCTGTAAAATACTTCTGCTGACATATCCTCAGATCACATTGCATTTTTCTAAATCTGCGCCTCACTGATGGCTGACGATCATCTTTGGCATCAAAATTCTTCTTCTTCCTTCCAGTCCACTTCCAAATGATGAGTTTCTGCTTATAGCATAATATTTTTATTAGTCACCATTATTCATTTTCCATTATGTCACATCTATTACTGTACTCCTCAAAATTATTTAGTTCCACAGTTATATTCTTAGCCTGCTCTGAACTTTTATCGATGTCTGATTCTGCCTCACCAGCAAATTCCATCAGGGTACTCTGACTTTTTATCTCTGTCTATGGTAAAATCAGTCTCTTAGTGTCTTCCTCCTCTAGCTATGCTTCTCCAGCCTGGTACCTCCTCTTCTACCAGCATTTGTTGCCATCTTCCCCTTAGTTTCATGCCTACCTTTTAACTCTGTTTTCATAAATCAATTCTCTTAGGAGCATGTCTATTTTACTTCATTCTCTTGGCAATTGGAAGATATGGATTAATTCCATACTTTCTACCTTAATAAATTCTGGTTGCATTTTATGCCATTTTCTGTCTATAGCCATACTTTAAAGCTTTCTTTCCATCAAAATCTGTTTTATAACTTTACAGTCTATTGATGTTAAGCTGCTAGGTCCATGGCTGCCAGATTCTATGTCCCCCTTTTAAAATAGTCATTATATTTCCTATTCACTGATCGTATGTATCACAACTCATTTAACAGCTCTACTGAGAAGCACTTGTTATTGCATTTGCCCTTCAGTAAACCGATTCTTCAAGAACCCTGGAAGAAAGAGGTGATTTCCCTATTCCCATTAGCCATCACGCCTCTTTTAAGGTCAATGTCCTCCTTGAGTGAAAATCAATGTGAAGTATCTATTAGTTTCATGTCTCTAACCAGATTTTCCTGTTTTTCTGTCCCATCATCAATGTATAACAGCTTCAATTATTTTGCTATTTCCCGTCTTTGTATTTAAAGATGTAAATGACCTTCTACTGTTGTTTTAATGTCCTCTGCAAGTCTCAGTTTTCATTGGGAGCCCTAACTTAGGCTCACATTTCTGCAACAAATTTCCTGTATACCTCCTGATCTCTTCAACGAAATCTTTCTTAATAATAACCTTTGCTTAAACACTTGTTTCTTGTATCTTTCCTGTATAATCATTCATTCAGTTCTGGAGTCACATCCTGCATGTTACCTTCCCCTGCAAAGGGATTTCTCAGTGTTTTACAAGCATTTCTGTGAGCAAATGGCAGGCCTCCTCTGTTTTCAAACACAGTCCAGTTAACTTTGCCAACTAAAATAGTTGAATGTAAACCTTGTGTATGTAAGTAGTAGTTACTTAATTTGTTTTCTGTTTAGAGAAAACCCTTGTTAAGGCCCTGCATTGCCTTACTTCTTTGCAGTTTTACAAGGGCAAAGGGTACTTTTCGTAACACATGGTTCATACTGTAGCTTCAGTTCCTACTGAAGTAGGATTCTACATGGTGAAAAATTCAATAAATCAATGTCAAGCTGTGAAACTGTACACTTAGTGGAGTTAAGGCTCAAATTCATTCTCAGGATGGAGAAAAAAGAGAGAAAAACATCAAACTTGAAATTTCATTAAATAACATGATATGACCCTAAAATACTTTTAACTAAAAATAACAGAATAATAATTCTTCACGTTTTCAAAGCAAACTATCCTTTCTACAGTCTGGGTACAAATGCAATAAAACATTATGTGACTGTCATTAAAGTCCTGAAATAATCAGTCCAGGAGAACGCGTGCTGCTATACTCGAGATCAAGACTGGGAAGTTACTGATTAGTGTCCTTCTTTGCTCTTTGATAAGAAAAAATGCTAAGATGAAGGTTATGAGAATTATTTCATACTCAGTGCAATACCCACAGAGCGGAAAAATGCCTGTGACTCTATGGAGATTAGGCTTAAACATATGCAGAGATGCTGCAACGCTCCTGAATCAATTTTACAGTAATCAGCAGCGACCACAAAAATCAGCAAAACCATGAGGATTTGCATTTTGACTCACTACTGTTCTCAGAAAACGCCTCCAGGCAAACATGACTACCTGGATTTCCCAATTCTTTATCTATTTCTCTTACACTTCTAAAGGCATTTTACTTATTAGAAATTGACTAAATTATGCTTGGTAAAACACAGCCCCATATTAGCATTCTAAGAAAATTTTGTTCAAGATTTTTTCCCCCATAAATATAAAGCAGTGACAAATACACTTTCATGAGCATACTTTGAAATATATTGAATAATAATTTGTCTTTAAAACCAGGCATCTCTTCATAGCTGACAACTTAATTCCAGTATTATACATACGATTTCCTCCTGCAAATTTTGCAATGCCATTGGTCTTACCAAAGATAAGATGAATGTGGAGGTCAGTCTCCAGAGAAAATGTTGCAATGCACCTTAAATAGCCAAGATAATGCTATTGCAGTAGCTGTAATATGAATTAGATATGTTCTATTCTAGCCGATTGAACTACGTGATAGTACTATCACTTTAAAAGAACAGGTGACTCATGGGACCATCAGTTAAAAAAATAAATCATAACGCCAAAATGCCAAAAGTTTTACACTGCAGGGTTTACTGAGACACACAGTCAAGCCACATGCGGTCTTCTTTCTCTGTGAAAGACTTCCCAAAGTCCCCGTTACTGTTCTAAAGCCAAGTCCCACGCTTTAAACACAAATCACTTCTTGAAAAAAAAACCAAAAAGCAAAAAGTCCCAACTTCTTATTCACCGATTTCTGGGAGTTATACCCATATAATTTAAAAACTCTAAACAGGCACAGGGGGAGTCAAGAGTCCAAATACAGCTGTAACCAT